TGCTGCTCTGATCTATGCGTAAGGCGCTATCACGAGACAGGGTGGGTAGGGGAAGAGGGGGGGAGAGGAGCGTTTGTTGCTAACGAAAGGAGAGATATTGAAAACGTGATGGCTGCCTTACAATGAGGCAATGATACAGCCAAAAACAACAACGTCTATCAACATTTGTACATCTGCGGCTTGAAAGAACAGGCCCTTAACCCTTTGACGACAATGGGGTGCCACCTTAAAATTTCCTACTTTGTGCATTTAAAACATTTGTAACACCCTAATAATTATAAGCAAGTTCCATAATATCTATGGCTAGCACGACTTACAGAAATGTTTACTAAGAGCTAATAATTGTATATAAACTATATTATAAAAATTTATAATTATATAATAATTCGTAATGATTTATATCGAAGTTATTAATTGGGGTTTTAAATTATTAGGCCGAAGATTAATTACTAATCAGGACTTCTTCGTCTTCTCATAGCCCTCAGATATGGGAAGGGGTTTGAAGTGTACCGGAAATTCTCTTGGACACTTAAACTTTTAAGGTTTTGCCCTCCTTCCCTTTGAAACGCGAGTTCCCCGTCCAAATTTGGAATTCTCTTGAAAATAATTTACAGTATGAAAGCCTAGAACTGCAGTTATAACTGGTATACTGTTAGAGTCAAAATTCTACAGAAAAATTGCTTTGAAGGACAATTTTGCCTAATTTTGAGCGAGAGTTGGGCGCGCCAAAAACAGGCGTGGTCCCACGAGCAAGCTACGTGCAAATCCGCATTGTCGTCAAAGGGTTAAAACGGTCTCCCTTGGTGCCGTACATGACTAGTACATCACTGTCAAACATCACAAATTTATTCTCGTCGCTACACATGACGTTCGAACACTGCGAGAAACTCCATTTCGTGCTTGATCAAGAACATCCTACTTCCAGTCACCTCATAGTGGGCACTTTTCGTAGTCTTCTGGAAGTAATGAATCCATAGTGTGTAGATTGATTCTAGAGGGCGTTATCAACTCATAGGTTTGGCAGTCAGACGACAGTGACTTTATCGGTCATCAAAGCAACGACTCAAATTACGTTTTACTTGCTGGGTGGTTTGAGTACCTTTAACGGAGCAGCCAGCTTGGGCGACTAACCTGGCAGGTCAGTCGCCCAAGCCAAACATCACAGAACCATCACCGGTGGAGCTGCAAAGACGTCTGTTGAGAAAAGAGCTTGAATACGTGCGAGAAGCCTCTTTAGGTCCTTTTCGGAGCGGACTGTGCAGTGGTGTAGCAAGGCGCGTCTCCTCTTATTCTACCGTCAAAGCAAGCTTGTCTTGGTACACAAAACAGTGAAAAGGTGGTAGCCGCTGAAATGTGATTGATTGGTCGATGGCTGAAGCGCCGTTCAGTGCCCAGAACTATGGTGGGTAGGTACTAATTTGACGGTTCCGACTGAATACGAGGGACATGGCGATGCTCATAACTATTCTCATTGACCTACACGTGACTCGATGATGTGATCTACCACGAATTCGACCTTTCAGTACCGAACACGAATTCGACCTTTCAGTACCGAACAATGATTTGCAGGACCAACATGCTGGTCTTCCCCGATAGCTGGCAGATCTAACTATCAAATACCATTCTCTTTTGGATCTTCACTCTCTACGAAAACTCCGCACGTCCAATGTCCGTCTCCATGAATCGAACGATTCGCTAGCGCCGGCGGCAGCCAGCGGATTGCTCGACTGGCTGGTACAGCATCGTGACCACGCACGCTAGCGAATCGCTCGATTCGCAAAGTCTGGCATCGGCCTAATGAACCAAACCTGAAATGTCAGCGAAGTCCAAACTTTTGGGTAGTTTTTTATTCGAATATACAGCAAATATAATAATTAATCACACACACAATATGTTAAATTATCTTTGTCTCGTCAAAGATTGCAATTTGTTGCTGAGCGTAACGAAATATTTACAGTGTTTAACATCTCCAACATTGACGGGAAGAAAATACAGGAGAACAACTGATGCTTTCGCCGATTGTAACAGGATATCCCTTTCTCCCTTCTTTGACTTTTCACGGTTATTGCAACCGTTGAGCGTATTGGAGCTCTGCTCGTCTTATATTCAGGGGAAGGCGGACGTTTGGTGCCTCCTTCGCGTCAACCAACGCAATGTAGGCATTTGAGTAGAGCGTCTTCAGTATTTTGTCCATATCACCTGCACCTGTCAACCGCTCCTTATAGTCGACTGCCAGCCTTTCGAATGCCGTCTTCGGCTTCTGAATTACGACATTACACATCAGAAACACTGCCTCACATCGCGACCCACCAAATCAGAGCAGTAGGGGCATGAAAGCAACGGCTAATTCCAGATTTGCACTGATGGGGGAGGGTGAATATGAAAGGAGTGCCAGAGAATTACGCTGATATCTCTTACCACTGTATTCTTCATTCGAGCGTGTGGCTGATTGTGGACTGCAGCTACGGGTGGCAAATCCGGCGACGAAGCTCTGAATCAGTGGTGAATTCAGGACAACGACTTCGAACCAACTTTTTGCCATCTAGCTTTTAGCTTACTTTCGATCACCTTACTTTCACCTTATCTTCAATTTTAAACAAGTGTCATAAAGGCCCAGAAGTTCTGAGCTGCAATTTCGTAAAGGGCTCGAAAATCCTGAAGGTAACTGCTGCAAAAATGCGACAAATTGGTCTCATTAGTGCTGCGATCATCAACTTCAAGCTCTGATTTGCACATCTGCTAGAACGACCAGAGTCCGACGGTACGGGGCCAACGACTGCAGTAGCCAATCCTACCAGCAGAGGGAGAGGAGTTCAAAAGGACGGGAAACGTCTTGCTAGGTCTTGCGCTACTGGAACTCATTCCGCGCCGCCCGCGGAAAGCGCCACGTTTTGCCCCCCCCCTGGGAGCCCAAACCCCTTCGTAGTGGCCTCTTTGGCCCTTCCTCAACATAAATATCGTACCACCTGCTTTTAAGTAAGGCAGAACATACTATTCGCTAGCCATCAATCGGCTGTCATCATCTAAGAGAAAAATACCCTCATGAACCAACCTTGGAATATTTCGTATCCTGTAAGGGACTACTCTACCGCCTTCATTTTCGAGGTCTAATGGAGCACCGGTGGCAAGTCCTATGCCCAAACAAATCAGCATCAGCTCCACCGTAAGACCTGCGCTCTGCGCGGGTGTTTTCGTCCTGAAGAAAAGGTCATCTTATAACTTGTTGGAAAAACAAAACTGAAGAAGAAACAATAAAGTTCTCGTTATCAGGTGGCAAACAGGTGCTCTCCAGCTGCACAAATTTAATAGGTGCCTATTTGTCAAGCAAAATATTCACAATAATGTGGTGCTAGCCACAACGTTTCTGCGGCAATTGGCTCTTCTACGGGGATTTCCGATGGAATCGAGTGACTACCTTAGCTCCGTTCTTCGTTAAAAAAACACACAACGGTGAGGTGGTCTAGATACTCCTTATTATGGACAACTATTTGCTCACGATCACACTGCCATTGACGCCGTCCCAGATGCGAAGAGTAGGCGGCGCCCTCGTCGGTTGTGATGTAGGCGGTTTTGGAGAAACCACAGTCGTCGTGCTCGTTGTTTCAGTCGTCGTGGTACGAATCGTTTCCTCAATCTTGGCACTCTCCTCCGAACCTGGGTCTAGTTCATTGATAATAAGGCAAGATTAAAAGCTTCCAGAATTAAGTCAGTAGAAGCATGAAGTTGTCACTCCTCCCCAAAAAAGCACAATCTTTTCCCTGGAGTAGCTTGGTGATGAATCCAACTCAATGGTTGTTCTCATAAAATCGAAAGAGCGTATGAAAGCAAAACTCGCCACTGAAATCGTCTTCGCCTTTGTCGTCAACCAGCTTTTCCTCGATTGGAATATGCATTTGAGATGTGAGAATTTCGGCTTCGACGGAATCTGTTTTGTCCTGAACCACAAATGAAGAGTAAATAAGAGCGTAAAAATATTTCCGTGGCGGTCAAAACTGTCAGAAAGCGACACATGTACGCGCGTACCATAGACGCAACAATTATTGAGTACCGGACGGGAATCTATGCGACTCGAAGAGAGCCAAGAGGCGTCTAGGCACCTTGTTAAACATGAAGTTCATACCACTCAGAAGCGTGATGTTTCATTCAAATCAAAAGAACAGCAAAGATATAAGAGTTCTACACTTCTGTGTTCAGTTAAAGGCGGTGCTCTCGATAAAAGGCAACCAATTTAGAAATTAAGGTAGGAGGCGGTCAACAAGGAGAAGGAATGAAAAGAAAACGATGAGAAGCGGCTGAAGAACTGACTCGAGAAGGGACTCCTTCTTTGTCCGTTGACTTTCGTTGATGAGACTCTCATCAGTGTTCCCTCTTCAACGACAACGCTCTCTCGCTGAATGGCTGGAGCGTACAAAGGTGATGAGCTCCATCGTCGGAGGCCTGCCGCGCGACAGCGGGCCGCGGGTGCGGTCCCGTTAGCCGATTACGTGACTACTTGAACTCTCCCCTATGTTCTCTGCCGCGAAAGGCCAGAGCACAGACGATTAGAGAACGGTGCCTGGCTCGGCTCCAAATCCCAAGAAGAAGGTGAGAGCTCTAGGAACTAAGCCTTGAAGGGAGGAAGGGACTCCGGAGTGGATGAGCCAATTATAACTTGTATAAGCAAGAGAGCGAAGGCGAGGAGATCAAAATACGAGGAAGCTTAAATTGGACTTGAGTCAAGTGGTCGCTATGCTCGTTAGGCCCGCTGTTGGGTATATCTGCGAACCACAAATCGGCACCCTCAGGGAGGCCCGCCTGCCGTTCGACTTGGTACATTTCAGTTACCTGACTCTCGACCATTCGTGGAATTTGGACTGAGTTCGCATCCGCATCTATTTTTCTAACGACCCGTAGTATTGGCGGGCCACTGCTCTTCGAAGCGTGCTTCCCTCCGTTTTCTTAGCAGTTTTTCCTAATGTTTCCTTCATGTCTTTCATACTTGTCATTTTTATTGGATATAGCCGAGTGAGCCACAATAATTCGTTTCTGGGATTGAGCTTTCGTATGAGCACCCAACAACACACCTGCTTGACCATCTCACAATTCATTATAGTCGTCTATTCTTTTGTAGTAGCAATGCTGGCCTCACAGGCCATTTCGAAAAAGTTCCAATCCCTTTAATCATCATTATAAGTTTGCACCACCGGTTCGACATGCATGACGCGTTCGCGTCGCAGTTTCACGCAATTTTGACTCGCTGTGGTCGAGTTGTTCGGTATTTTTCGTACTTCAGAACTGTCTCCATGCATTATGTTGTCCAAAGAACTGTGCACCAGTTATCAGTAGTCGTAATAACTTCGTATAGCATATGACTGTTTAAAAATGAAAGGAGAGCCTGCGTACACTAATAGAGGAGGGCCTTAGGGCGAATCACTCGCATTTGCTGAGGAACTCCCGTCAACGACAGCAATCTCTGCGAAGAAAAAAGAGCCGAAGTCCGACATAGGCAAAATGTCTTTTTTTTTTGGCCCCCCCTGTATATACGAGTAAGGAGGCAATCAAGAGGGGGACGTTTAGTTTTCCTCACACAATTCACCAGAGCTGCGCGATGACTGAATGCATTGGATTACACTTATGCTTACACTTCGGCTTATGCACAAGCTTTCTAAGCGTCAGCCCTGGGCTTCATCTTAGGCTTGCTGCGAGCAAATCAGAGGTGCTTCAATCAGGATGATCTCATTCGATCAAGAGAATCAATACACACCCAAACGAAAGATACCTCAGAGGCTTTTTCCTCAACTCGTGGTGGATGATGCTTGATTTCAGTTTCGGCCTTCTTCCGAGGCAAATATAGTAGTAGCTCCTTGTCCGTTTTTGTGCGTCTCAAAGGAGGTTCTACTCGATCTAACACTTCTCTTTGAGCTGCTACGGTTGTGGCTGAAAGGACAGAATTAAAAATTCCCGCTAAATGCATAATCAAGTCCAGAACTCGAACTTGAGGGTTACGAGTTAGCTCATGCATTAGTATATTACATATCTCTAGCTCATTGGTAAATACCCCATCAAAAGTCTTCATTAGCGACTCAGGCGGTGAAAAAAGCGAAAGTGGTAGCTCGAGCTCACCTTCAACAGTAATGTTCGGCGACAAGGACGTTGTCTTGTTGTTGTCATGTGCACGCGTGTTGTTCAGAGCACTAAGCCTTGTTTCCGCCAGTTTCCTCACCAGTTCTTCACGGACTACCTGCGCAAAGTTCTCAATCATCACGATGAACTATGAGGCATTATTCTGCTAGCTATTTGATTTCTGATCAGCCAACGCCATAGACAGCAATGAGCCAAGTTCAACCATCGTGTAATATTTTGCTAATCTCCTTTATGACTTTACCCAAAATTCACTTCAGATTCATTCAGGGTTACGAATCGAATTTATAACATGATCCTGCTTGATATCTTATCTAAATGGAAAATGTGTACGGTACAATGTCAGCGAGCGTTTTTGATATAAGTAGACTTGACTGCGCTTATACCACAAGCATGGCAACGAGCAAATTAACGCAGTGGGTACTGCGTGATGCACGCGACGGTGCAGTATAATTGTACTTCTGGATTCCGGATAGCGGGTACCCGACAGGAGGCCCGTCGCGCGGCGAGAAGGCAGAGACGCAGACGGTCAGCGGACGAGTTGCAGCGCGTACTGTAGCGATTTAGCGTCAAGTTAAATAGAATGTACTATAGTACGTCCCACATCGCACAGTGCGCGCTGCGACTCGTCCGCTGATCCGTCTGCGTCTGCCTTCCCGCCGCGCGACGGGCCTCCTGTGGGGTACCCGCGGATAGCAGCACACACAGTAGCAGTCAAAAGTCTTCGCTGACAATGATTTTCGTTCATTTTTTTCTCATTAACGATTGCCCTTCAATTTTTGACATATTGTGTCTCTTAGAGACCTTTTGGACCTTCAAGCTCTGGGTTCTCAGGATTCAAAGTTTTGAGGAAAAAACTTGAAGAACTAAAAATCGCTCCGGTAAACACTTTCGACCGCTGCTTTGTACTGTTTTAATTAATCGTTAGTAGGCTATTAATTACCGATAACTTAACAAGATAAAAGGGACCAGAGAACACGATGTGTGGCGGTTCGCAACGGGTCAAGAAACTCAAAGGCACGAATCATGGCCGAATTGGCGTTTAATAAATCCAAGCGGAAGGAAAGGGTATCGCTTGTGCCGGATACTGGTCTGGGGTTTGGCGATGATTTCGCTGATGAAGTTCTTACTTTTACACTTTCAACTTGCTGTTGCTAATGTGAAAAGTGTTGACAAAAGTGAACTACGGATGGAACAAACCTGCGGGTGATCCTTTCTGTAATGCTGGCGGAAACTGGCGATGAGAAGTATCGCTGATGCGATCGAAAATGAGATCGAGATATGTCAATTTAGACTGTCAAATAAACGTTCACATGTAACTTCAACGTTTCACTCACAACAAATAGGCTTTTAAATCAATGAAGAATAGTCACCAAGCTAAAATTTCGGTGGTCTCTCACTTTTTGCAAAATTGACGTGTAATTCTATACGCTTCTTGCTAAAACATTTTTCTTGTTGAAGAGATGCTCACAAAGATAGCTGCTATTTTGTCTATTGATACAGTCGAGAATGTGCTTGATTTTGATTGGAGACTCGCTCCGTCCATTTTTGATTTTTATAGCAGAAAGTTGGCTAAGTCGCGGTAGCAGTGGACGCTGAGACTATGAAATGGGGCTTTCTAATGTACAGGGGGGAGGAAAAAAAAGACATTTTGCCCAGGTCGCACTTCGGCCTTTTTTTCTTCGCAGAGATTGCCGTCGTTGACGGAAGTTCCTCAGCAAAATATTCCCTAAATGTCCCTCTATAAGTACACGCAGGCCCTCCTTCACTACCCTCACCGTCTTCAGAATATGACGTCATCTGTCACCGTCGTCGAGCTCAGGGAGGCCTACAGTAACTGCTTCATCCTGAAGCTCTTACATAATTTCTTGGATCGATTCAACGTGGGATAGTTTCCTAGGGACATTAGCTCTAACTATGCAAACCCCCTCGGAACCCGCCCTTCGGAACCGTCGTAACGGTACACGATCAGTCGAGAACCCCATTGAGCTCGACCAGAGCACCATGTTTCCGGGGCAAACTTTTCTGATGCCGTCCACGTAGATGGCCACTATGAAGATTTTCTTATGAAATGAAATGCGCTCTTCAATTCTAAGTTGGGAGCACACGCTTTGAGCTGAGCAAAGTGTGATTAAATCCATTTGAGTCTGGAGACAAAATGTCTTTTTTTATTGCCCCCTGTATATTAAATGCTTTATGGAGATCCCATTTAAGACCTCGCTTTTGTGAGAGGTTTCTTTCGACCCTCTATAAGTCAACCCTTTTCTTTCAATGCACATTTGAGTTAAGTTTTCGTAGGCATCGATAAGCTATTTACTATTCAAAGAGGTCATGGATGAGATGTCCTATTATGGTTAGGAAAGCCAGCTATTCCAATCCTAGTCATGTTACGATAAACCATTGGGCCTGGAAATTTGATCTATTTTATTGAGGCTGCGTAAGCTCAAAGGCGTATGTGACGGACAAATTAGATGTGGAAGGAGGGAGATATGTTTGCTTAAAGGCCACGAGTCGGGACTTGATTGATGTGTTATTTTGTTCGAAATTAGGCAAGGAGTGCAATGAGGAACATTAGTGAGGAGAAAAAGCAAAAAGCACCATAGAAAACACTAAATTTCCCTTAGGAGGCCGGCCGTAGTACGACGGAGAGACACAGCGCTGCGAGGAGAGGGAGAACGCGAGATAGTACGTCGTACGTGAGAGACGCAGAGACCACGTATGCCGTGGTTGATAACGCTGGCAGCACGGCAGCACACAATGGCAAGGCCTTAGCGCCGTGTGGCGCACTTTTTTGAGTCGCGACAGTGTCGTGCCTCCTGCCTTTGGGAACCCCTCTCCCTTCCAATTGGAGGGACTGGCTCTTGGAACCTGATCCGCTCGTTGGCTTCAAAGTCGAGTCTCAATGAATACAAAGACAAGTGGTTGCTAGGGCGTGCTCATCTCCACATACCTAGTTATAAACCTAGTAAGCGCCACCTCCCTGGCTAATCAAATCAAAGGGAAAAAGGAGCCCATTTCTCGAGTCTCGAGCCGTTTTTGTTGGAAGTTTCTTGACCAGGGGACCTTCTATCAAGTCTAATTTTAGTTTCAACGGGGCAACGATTTTTTGTACCGTCCGCCTTTTAACCAGTCGCCTCTTGCGGCCTCAGCAGGTGCTCGCGTTTCACTGTATCGATCTAGAGAAATAACTTGAATTGAAAAACATCAATATGACTGGCGTTTATTACGAGTTCCCACAAACCATTTTATTCTTGTCAGCGCACCCTTCTTTGCCCCTACACCATTCAGGACAATATCGCCTCCGACCGTGGGTCTATTGATCAGTCGCTAGAGTTACATAAAGTCTCTAGGTCTCTACGATGTACTTTCATCATGGCCTCCCAGTGAATCCTGTCCTCGTCCCTACGCCAACACCCCCACAGGTTAGTGTCATCTAAAACTTAATCTTTGTGGTGTTCCCATTGAAGTCATGGGTTCCTATGTAGAGCACCACCACGAGTGTCGTCGTGGAATCCACGTCTCCAGCACAACAACATGCTCAGAAGACTGTGGAGATTGTCTCAGTGGCTTCAAAAGAAGACGATGTGAAGGAAACAGAGTCACGAGATAGTACCGAGGAAAGCAATAAAAGGCGAGGGTGGGAATTCTCGTCGTGAGTGGTACTTGAGAGGGATTTTGTTGTGACGGCTCAATGTTTCAGATCAGTGGTCGTTCGACTGCGCCCGACAAGCAGAGTGCGGACACAATAAGAAGATCTTCCCTTCGAGAACTGGTGGAGGAGATTGGTTATGAGACGTATGGCACCACTAAACAAAAGGTAGCTTAATGAAGTTCGCATTCAGTATAATAAATACATCAAGATCGACCCTACAACAACATACGAGGGAGGGAGTGGGACAATAAAAAAGACGTTCTGTCTCCACATTCAAGCGATTTCAATCACACTCTGCTCAAATCTGATCTCATGTTGAATGAAACGAGCACATTCCATTTCATAAAATAAACTTCATATTGCCTTCAAAGGTGGACGAAATCGGAAAAATTAGCACTGAAAACATGGTGTACTGGTCGTGCTCAATGGGTCGTGGACGGACCCCATACCATTACGACGTTTTCTGAGAAGCGAGTGTCTCCGATGGGGCTTGGAAAACTATCCAACGATGAATCGATTGAACAAATTCATAGGTAAGGTTTCGGGGCGGGCCGAGCATATTACTGGAGGTACCCGTTGACGGGTGCGACCACCAGATGGGCAGAGCGACGTTCATTATGCTGAAGACGGTGAGGGCAGTGAAGGAGGGCTTTGCGTCTGCTAATAGAGGGGCATTTGAGGGAACATTTTGCTGAACAACTTCCGTCAGCGACGACAATTCCTGCGACGAAAAAAAACGCTGAGATGCGACATAGTCGAAATATCTTTTTTTTTTATTAGCCTCCCCTGTATGTGAGTGAATTGTGCGATGTGAATCCCAAGAAGGTAGCATGTCTGGCAGCCTGGTCTATCAAAACAATAGTTGTTTCCGCTGGCAACTAAAAACAACTACTCCTAAGCCCACGTCAAGGTTTAGAAATTGCCTAAGAACACAACTGATATTCCTGACGGACTGATAGAGGAACGATGGAGTTACGCTGCAGCACCGTTAAAGGTTTGTAGCATCAGCATTGTACAAGAAAGAAAAAATAACCTGACTCCGCAATTCAAACTCTGAGGAGTTTTTCTTGTCAGTGGATCAAACGACCAAAGGCCCTCGGATGCTAGTTAGATAAGAGTTGTTCAGCCCGTGGCCAAGGCTTCGAAACAGACCTATCTCCTAAGGCACGCTCAATGCAATAAGGACTAGGTCCCGGAATCGAAGATTTCTTTCCAGGGCGATCCACTGCTAAAAGGGACTAGGTACATTTTTCGTGGGTAAGGTACTCCTTGGGAAGCATGGTTTTAGCCTTCTAGTGTTATGTTGCATTTCTAACGATCGACACATCTGTGACTACCTGGGGAAGGACATGCAGCTTAAGGAATGTCCCTCAGGTCGCCATGGCCATTCCACATGCGATGTATACACCATTATGCCAGTTTAAACACGCTGACTTGGGGGCAATTAAGCGGCGTAAACGATTCGTGAA